TCTCTTGGTTTGCGTTATGTGCTCTGAATCACATACATAACACTTTTATATTACCACAGTCTGGCCACATAAAGTGCTGCTTTCAATATATCGGCAATTTAATTTTTACTGAAAGATAATGCCCCAATTCATTAATCCTTAGAATATATACAATAGAATACTATCAAAAAGAAATAGCAAATTCTTCTACAGGCATGCAATTAAAAAAAGAAAATCTGAAAATCAGAATGGTTTTTATGGAGTATTTAGTGTTACTGGAGTTCTACTTTTATCATTGAATGCAGTTATCTAGCATCATTTTGATGGAATTTAAAAAAAAAATCATTTGTTGTAATCTAAGCATTTATCATTATATGCAAAAAGATTTCTTGATGAGAATGTTATAGACAGGGCATGTTTTTGACATTAGCGTTTTATTTGGATGACTAATTTTGCAGATGTGAGATTTTAATGCATTATTCATGCAGTTGCTTTCCTCTGAAATTTTAGTTTGCACCTAACGCTAGTTATTAAACATTTTGTTTTTCTTTACAGTATCTGACGAAGAAAAATAAGGGTGTGCTTCCCCGAGAAAAAGGCAGCTTCTCCTTTTTTTCTGGTTCTCTAAGTGGTCACTTTCACTTTGAAATCCTGAGGATGGGAGCCTCAGCCCTCTGTCAGGATGAAAGCTTTTAGTTAAGATTGATTTTAATTCTGCGTTGGAAGCAGCTGGTGATGAACCTAACGCATATGCCTACCACACAATTATCAGCAGGTCAGAAGGGGAAAGAAAGTTAGGCTGTGGCAACTGATACCACCAGTGTGAACAACCAGCATTTTTATTGCATTTGAGAATGCTATAATGTCAGCAGTACTGACTACACAACGTTTTTTTTATTGTCTGTATCCACAGACATGGAATGATGGAATTACAGTTGATGTCAAGGAATGAGTTTCTTTGATGTCTTATCAAAACAAAACAAAACAAAACAAATCCTTGTTTCTGGCAGCACATATACACGAAGCACCATGCTCACAGTCCAGACTGTACCTTTTCATCAAGGCTTATGGGTAGCAGGGTTGTCTGAACTACACTGGGCCCACAGGATACCTTTAGAATTCTGAATCTGGCTCTCAGGATCAAAAAGCAAAACCGGCTTTTAAAACATCCCAACTATCAGGATGGTTTGCCATTACCCAGAAGGTATCAAAAAGAGTCAAAAATCCTCAAAGCACGTTCTTCCTTGTGCCTCTTTGGAAACGGAGCTCAGCTGGAAGGTGAAGAGGAACGATTTCTAATTTTCTTTTTTATGGAGGTTTAAAAAAAAAAAAAAGCTAGTGATTTGCATCGCATTTTAGGTTAAGAATCCAAGGTGTTCTTGACTAGGTCGGACAGAACACAGGACATAACACTGGAGCTGTCCCCAGGAGGCAGGACTGGCAGTCACTCTTCATAAGCCTTGGTATTTCACTTCACTGCTGGCCAAATGGAGCAGCCTAACTCACTTACACGTACACACTCTGGGGGTAAGCAGGCTGGATCCTCATTCCTGATAGTGTGTTTGCCTGATATGCAGGGGACTACCTCCCTCATGTACACGTTTGTCTGATTTAAAAGAAAAAAAAAAAAAAACTAACAAATTATCTTTTACATCTTGGCACCCTGTATTCTTTTTTTTTTTTTTCTTTTTTTCGTACAAAAGTTCAATAGCTTTGACACTCTCCATGATTAATCACTACTTCACTGATAAAACTTTGAAAGTGTGACCCTGGAATTTCATCATGCAAAATATTTACTGCAGCAGGAGAAAACATTTTTTAAACAACATTTTTTTTTTCTCTTTTCAAATGTAAGAACTTGTTTAAGATAGCTAGGAAGGCAGGGGGGAGGGTAAACATAACTGGGGTAGGAATGTATCAAAAAACGGCTTAACACACACATGCACGCACGCACACACAAAAACCTGTACAAAATGCTCTGATCAATGAGAACAATAGGAAAAAAAAAATTCGTCAACTATGTTACAATTTAAAAGCCAAAAAATAAAAATAAAATATAAAAGGGAGTTCCTCCCACATGTCAGGAAATGTCACCCAATATTCTTAAAGCAGGGATAACTAAATAAAATACATGTGCAGCATATTCTGCAATTCTATTACATACAGTAGTTTTTTTCTCCCCAAAGCTTTTTTTTTTTTTTTTTTTTAGTATCATTAATATAAAGCAGTTGCACAAAAAAGCCAAGGTGTTTTGACAAACAGGTGTATGCATTTATTCCTTTTTAGGAACAATATCTAAAAAAAGAACCGCCCTCCGCCCTCCCCCAAAAAAGACAAAAGATTCACACAGACACATTGGGATATATGTACAACATAATAAACCCCATCCTAAAGAAGCGACTGGAATACCCCTCGGGGATACAGAATCAGAATTGTAAAAATCATAGTGAAATTTGCTTGCTGTAAAGCCTGAGAATTTTTTTTTTTTTCAGTTGGTTCTTCTGCAAGGCTATGATACCTGCAAAGATATGGAAAATCTAATTTTTTTTTTTTTCTGCTACAGTCTTTAGACTAAGCATGCAAGACATACGACTAAGTGCAACTGAGTGAAATGTATTTTTTTTAATTTTAATCATTCCCAAAAGGTTTGAACTGAGGTATGCGTACTAAGAGTTTCTCATGCTGTTATCTTTACTCATGTCTAGCTACACATGCTGAGAATGAACTAATCTACCAGATTTTTATCCTCTTTTGAATACCAAACTAACCAGCAACCACTCAGTTTTGAAGCACAGGGCCCCCTTCCCATGACCCTGCCTGGCTACTGCCTGCACATCATGAAGCTGCCTGGATAACTGGGGGAAAAAAAAAAAAAAAAAAAGTCTTGCGTGACCACAGACTGCCCTTTATAGAGAAAGCAGAGTGAAGCTTCAAAAGTAACTGCCAAAGTAGTTTTTGTACCAAGCTTATGAGTGGACGGGAGTGTTACTGTTTTTTTTTTCTTCTTTTTAATGAAAAAGGCTGACTATAGCCTAATCAGAAAAAAAGAAAAAAAAAGAAAAAAAAAAGAAAAACCTGGAGGATATATATACCGAAATTAAGGCAGTGATCATAGCACGGTCCTTAAACACAAGTGGCATACTATCTTGCTAACAAAAATTTTATTCTAGAAACACTATTCTGTGGTCCAGTTCAACTGTGGAAGCTTTTCTGTTCTGAGTTTTAACTGTCTCCTTTATTAGACACCCTGATTTTCACAGGCACATGCTCACTGTTTTGAGATGGGACTTCCTTCCCTCTGTAGCTCCTGTAATACTGTGTCCTATTTGTAGTTTCAGTATTCCCATAGTTTCTCTTTACAAGAATGAGTTTTGGTCTATGTGGAGGTACAGGAAAAAAAAAAAAAAAAAGACAAAAAAAGTAACAA